TTGGGGAAATCGGGACAGGGAAAGTAGATCAAGAAACGGCGCGCCGAGCCTCGGGACAAGAGACTTTCAACCGTACTAGTACTATCTCTGACCCAAGGTGTAACAAACTTCCTTCACAGCTAGACGCAGTCGACAAGGCGGGTATACTATGCAAATGAGTCAACGGGAGATTTGCAAGAGGGGCGGCCCCGAAGAAATCCTTCAAGAGTCACGGATAGTAGATAGGACCTCTAAGAGCGAGGGAGAGACAGAAGAGTTTTACAAACCGACAATTTCTCAAACGTCCCACGCCCAAGCCCACGCCCCCAGCAGGACAAAGCCGCCGTCAAAGGGGCGAGGGGACCTGGTGCTAGATCCATGGAATGGGTGGTGGGCGGCAACCCGCATCCGATCCACCGCCGCGAAAAGGGTGCTGGTGGGGTGCGCGGTGTGGGTATCCTCAAGGCACGCAATCGGAGCAGGATTGGGAAAGGAAAGGGACAACCTGACGAGGAGAGGACTAGAATTGGCCCATTGGGTAGGTGATCGACCTTCAGAGCGCGACGGGGATAACGGCGGAGCTAGGGTCGCATCGCCTCGGGCTAGAGTGGCCGCCGTCTTGGAGCGAGGTGACGAAGAGGGCCGACATTTGGTTGGATGCGTGTGTCGCTTCACCTCGAGACTTTGAGGTATCGTATCATCGAGACTGAGACACGCTGCATCTCTAGAATTAGAGTCTGGAACTGCTTCTGCCCCCGCTTCATGAGAATCCCCAGCTTCTCCTCCGCATTGGAGCCTTGCAGTCGTGGTGCTGTGGAAGCGGAAAAAACAGTACCAAATCCCGCGTTTCCTCTTGACAATGGAGCCCATCGTTTTCCGGTGTGAGATGAGTCGATGATTGGGGAGGTGTGGAGTTCAGCCGAGGTCCGCTTCGGTTTGCCCCACTCCCATTGTCCCATGAGAATAAGCACTGCTGAGGCGGGTGAGAACATAAGTCATGTCTCTTTCGCCATTTGCGTGCAAGACAATGCCGCTCACGTCTCCGATAGGTTACACTGTTTACAGTGTAGTTGATAGATGAAGTCATATCTCGCCATGGCAGCTCCGACAATGATCTTCGCGGCCTCGCCCATGACCTTGTCGAGAGTTTTCCAGAACGTCTGGCGGAATCGAGAATACCACCACGAAGGTTTGCGGATTGGCCAGTTCCGCGTGGCTTCCCAGGACGGTGGAACCTGTCAGGCAGTGTGTCGCGAAAGTTATTCCCGGCGGAAATCCCTGGACGCTAGATACCGTCCGAGGCTTCGGCGGGGCGCTGACCGCATAAGCAGCAAAAACAATCATCCCTTGTTTTGACTTTTGACGATTCATACGGATGAATGTAGGAATTTCTCCTTCGTACAACGAGAGAACTTCCCCTCGAAATGCCATTGATAGACGGCGTATGCTGTGCGACCTGGGCTGGATGTCGGAGTGGCTGTCCTTCGTAGCGATGGTGCTGTTGCACGACATGCGTCGAAGGCAATGCAGCATTGTCACCGGACTAAGAACGTGAGGCAGTATGAAATCTGAGGTGAGACGCCGAAGGATGAACCTGGAAGATGGAAAAAGTCTGAAAGATAAGCCAAAGTCGGCCGGTATCCATACCCATGGCCAGAGCTTTCGGTCAGGGTTCCCAATCCGGTTTTGGCGTGAGGTCGGTGGATCTCGGCGAAAGCGGGGCTTCGGATGTCTGAGGTCCGCTTTCGGCTCCGATCTCCGGAGATGCAACGACATTCCCTCTTGCTCCTTCTGACTTGTGTGAGTGTTTCATACTGGCCTTATAAGGTATCTAGTAGACTACAGATATCTTATGTGACTGAGATGGCTATACAGAGCTGAGACTCTCTTTCGAATCAGCACCTGAATCTCGGTTGTTGTCTGTGGTAAGTCGGAACACCCCCATTCGGCCACCCCCCCTATTCGGCTACCCTATTAAAAGTAGGTCTAGGAACATTACTACTAACTATAGTTAATTAATTAACTACTTTCTATTACTATTATAATATAATTACTACCCTTACTAAGTAATTCGACTTTTATAATTCGATTAGGACTAATTAAACGCTTATTAATATCTTCCTAAGCCCTCTTTATATCCTTAATATTAATAAACTTAGTATTTAAATCTATTTAAATACTCTTTTTTTTTTTAAGAGTTATGTGTTTAACTCTAGTTTTTAAAACTCGAACTTATTATTAAAATAAGGTTAATAAAAAGGACTTTTTACTAAAAGCTTTTTTAATTTTATAAAAAAGTAAACGTTAAGTATTATAATTAGGACTAAGCTTTATAAATAGTTTTAGCTACTTATAAAAATCGCTAGTTTTTTTTAAAAATTAATTAGTTAATAATAAACGTTATAGAGGTCTAATTAACGACTTTAATAATATTAGTAATTATTTACTTAGTATTAGTAATATTATTTAATAATATAACTAAGCTAAATAATATTATAAAATTATTAAGAAGTATAGTTATATTAAATAACTATAAGCTAATTATTTTTTAATTATTTTATATATTATTTTTTATTAAACTAAATAAACGAGCTATAATATAATAAGTTAAGAAGTACCGCTTTTTAATAATAATAAAATTATTTATTATATCCTTTTTACTAAGCTCTTTTTTATAATTAGTTTTAATAAAATTAAAAATAGCTATATTTAATAACTAGAGAATATAAGAGGTATATAATAATAAAAATAATAAATAAACGTTATTAATATAATACTCTTATATAAATTCTATTATTATATAACTTTTATAACTATTTAGAATTAATAATTAAGGCTCTAGTTATAAATTAGGTCCCCTAGTTAGGAGGGGCTTAGTTTATAATAAGAAAACTACCCTTAACTATATAAAAATAGTTTAGTTTATAATTTACTTATTATTTATTATTATAAACTCTTAATTATTAAGATTTTTAAAATTAAGGGGGAACTACTACTATTAAACTAACTTTCTTTTATAAATTAATAATAATTTAATAGCTCTATTATTAATAAAAATATACTTAATAATAGAGATCTAAGAACGTAATTTAAGTTTTTTTTTTTATATTATATTAATCTTAGCTATATTTAAAACTAGCTTATTAAATCCCTTACCCTTAAAAATATTAGTCTTATTTATATTATATTTATTAACCTATTTAATATCTTTAATTTTTAATATATTAAGTAATTAGAACTAGGGCTTAATTATTTTAATAAATATTTTATTAATACGCTTTAAATTTATAAAACGACTTCTTTAGACTTTAATAAATAAGTTCTATTTTAAAAAAGTATTTATTTATCTCTTTTTAAAAAAATAATTATCTCTTTAAATTTATAATACTCGCTTAGTAAATTCTTTAACTTATTTATAAGTTAGTATAACTCTTAGAATATACTAAATATAAACTTATTTAGTTAGTTTATTTTCTTATTAAAAAAGAAGCTTTTATTAGTTTATAAAAGCGATTACCTTAGCTTATTAACCTTATTAATAATTTTAAAGTATACTTCTTAAAATCCCGAACTTAATCGAGGCTCTCTTAATTAAAATACTATTTTTAATTACCTCGAGCGCTTAAATAACTTTATTTTTAATATATAATATTATAATATAATAAAGAATATATATATTAAAAAGAAATTTATTTAGACGATAATTATAATTATTATAGTAGTTTATAAATTAAGGGTAGGATTTTAATTAGGGGGGCTGGGAGGGATTTTTGGGGTGGCCGAATGGGGGGGGGGGGTGGCCGAATAGGGGTATTCCGACTTATTACGGTCGGAAGGATGGATGCAGTTTTTCTTGCTCTCAGTCGGCCGTATTGACTGACCAAAATGCGCAATTGAGATCCAAAGGGATAGAGCATGCAGTGGGATACTAACAAAAGTTACCTGCAACTCGCGTCTTCAGCGACGGAACCAGTCGACGATTAGACATGTCGTCGAGATATGGAGGGGCTCGAGTCAATCTGACTTCGCAGTTGCAGCTTGTCACGAAACCGTTGTTCAGACGACAGCTACACGGACCAGTCTGCAGCCGCCACTTAAGAGTGTAAAGTTATTCCATTCTATACGATGATTCTGTTTGGAATGACTTACGTGATATTTCGTTCCGTTAAGATCTGCAAGTGCGAAGAGTGGGAGGATGATGTCACGTGATAAGTTGGGAGGTATTGGGTGATCAATGATGCGATGTTTCTAGAATAATCAATCAATCCAACATAGCCCAAATAATCTTTTGAGTAGCAGACATCTAGGTCATGCCTTTCAATCAATTTTACTGAGGCGTCAATCTCAGACTTGGGCAGGGGCTCGCGACTTAACTTAAGCCTAGAGATGCCATAGTATAAGGTCGCCTAAAGACCAGAAAAAGACCAAAAGTCGATACCAAAAAGATTTCACCCCCCCGGTGTTGAGCTGGGGGCTACATCTCTTGGTGCACATGCTGGGAATCGAACCTGAACCCTGGTGAAGACGAGTCTGCCGCCGAGAAGGCTCGCCCCTGACCATCCCGCCAAACGGGACTTTGACCTGACCTCACAAGCCTGTGAGGCGCCTGCCACCGTTGGTGACAGGAATGGAACTCAGGGGTCCTATAGGGCCTTCTCACGGCAATATCTGGAAGGTGCAGCAGCCATGACAGTTAAGATCGGTGCTTCCTTCCAATTTCGCGCTGGATGTTGCGTGGCCCCACATTGACTAATTCCAGCCAATAGTCTAAGCTATCGGCGCCTACCTCTAGAAGAAGCAACTTCATCGACAATGACAGGGGTTCATGCAAGGTCTCAGCCGCCGTGGCTGTGCAGCGTAAGCAGGCAACGACATTCAGCGCGAAAACCACACAAAAGTGAGGCGTTCCCTTGATACGCGCCAAGCGCATTCTGATTCCTACTCTGCTTCTAAGTTGAGCGCGAAATCGTTGCATATTTGATCTATGCGCGCCTCATCAAGCATCGCGAGATCCTGAAAGGATGGAACCCGACTACACGGACCCAAGCCACGAATGGTGGGCCCGGCCATCGGACGGCTACTTGGTTCCACTCGTGCTTCAGTGCGGCCAAGAGCCGGACGTTCTGCCCGAGACATCGAGATGGTCGCGCCTGGGAAAGTTACCTTCCCGAGTCTCGCCAGTTTTGCGCGTCTCTTACTGGACCGGCTCATCTTTATTTGTTCCTGGGACAAGGAAGTACAATATTAGCTTTTACACACTAGTGGTGACAGCGCTGAAGCTCCTCGTGGCATGGCCGGTGCTTTGTATGCTGGTATGAGACATATTCTTGCTCTGACAGACTGACCAGAACCGAACTGATCATGATTTCAAGGTCTGCTGGGCCGGGAATCTTGGGACAACTGTACAACAGCTTGTCGATGCTCGCAACAAAAAGGACTCACGCTACGATAACGTATGCGTTCTCTCAAGGGAGGAAAGCATCCAGAAGAGACCGTTTCCAGGTCGACATCTGGTAGAGCAAGATGCCATCCTTTCTGGTCCCCTGCAAGAAGCAAGGCCTCCAGCATCAGAGCAGCATTACACCGATAACATCAGGTTGAGCGGGTCTCTGCCACCTTCAGGGTCACGCGTCGACAGCTCGCCAACTTCTCTTCGTCCACGATACCTATGCTTCGTCAGAGACTTTGAACAAGGCATATACGAGACAGTCAAGGTTTCCGACTACCTCGCGCAGCATGGAGACGATGTAGACCTCGAGTTCGTCTTCGTCTCATACACCAGGCTCCAGTTCAGGGTAGCTACTGAGGAGGAACTCAACAAGCACGACTACCAAGACGAAGCTACCAGGAACGCTAACAAAAAAGTTGCACGACAGGATCGAGAGATCTTGGCCAAATGGGGCATGGATGCCGCAAAAAGGGTGGGCAAAAGGGCATTCTGGCTCGACTTCGAGTGTGTTAGGAACGACGACGGCATCGCACGATCGACGAGTAGTAGTCAGGACGTCTATCGAATTTGCGACATTGTGCGCGCGGCACATTCAATGATCATCGCCATCGGGCCATCCGCAAACGACAAGGTTGCCTCAATCCTTGCCAGCACTGAGCCTCCTGAGTACAAGCGTGAGAACGTCACGCCGTGGTTACGGCAGTGGGGATCCCGCCTGTGGACGCTGCCGGAACTCCTACTTTGCCCAGGGGAATATCGCATACGACTCTATGTCCTCGGGGACCAAGCGGAACCTAAGGAATTGGCGAAACGCAACTTCGCTGAGCGGGCATGGGACGACGCGGAGGCTGTGAAGGAACTCGTGGACCACTTTGAAGGATCCGCGATCCTTACCGACCTTCGGCTCATCGAAGCTGCTCTCGCTTGTTTCTCGAGGCGTCAGACGGATCAATTCAACAAGAGAGACATCGCATACGCAACAATGGGTCTGTTCCCCAACCGCCATCGACCCCCAGTGAACAAAGAAGACTCCGGGTTCCAGGCCTTTGCCAAGCTCTCCATCGCCAATGATAGTGGAGCCTTCCTCAGCAGGTTGATATCCCTCTCCCAGCCAGACGGAGCCCCATGGCACCGGGTAGAAGATACCTGGGGTGCTAGGCTCAGCGAGATCTTTCCAAGCGTCAGTATAACTGGCGTGGTCGGCGCCGATACAGTCATGCTGGATAAGGTTCACGGTGCGACGATTCATTGGGACAACCTCGAACCAGAGCCTTATTTCGACAGGAGCTTCGGGATGCGTTATGTCGTTTTTGTCGGCTTCACGTACTTTGCATGCTTCTCCGTCCCTATGGCATTCTCTTTCTTCACTGGTATTGCCAGCATCGTACTATCAGACTTTATGCGATTGTCGATCTGGCAGGTCTACATGTGGCTCCTTCCTCTTGCCGTGGTCTTCGCTCTTTTGTTCCCCATAGTGTTGATCTCAACACGAGGCAGAGTCAAACAGCCTGCCAAGTCCCGACTCATCGGCATAGAGGGCATTGTCGACTCTGCGAGCATTGAGAAGCATCTATGGGGGTTCAATCATGGCAATCTCAGCACCACGAACCCGCAACATTACAGCGATGAAGATGACCGACGAGACCCACCAACATTGCTGCAGCCCTCCGGGCCGCCTGCCGGAAGCGGCACTTTTGCTTTCACTCTGGTGGATACGTACTTGATGACGGTCACGCACTTCCACTGCCGTATCCCACCAGTCGCTATACTCGAATGTGGCTCTGAAGGTGGTCTGCAGCGAACTCTTCTCTGCTCTTACGACGCTCGGACAAACACGTTCCATAGGCAAGCTGTCTTGAGAGTGAATCGTCGAGGGGTCGAGCAGCTGCATCGTATCGATAGGATCCGGCTGTCTTTGGCACCCCACCCCCAACCCAAGGAGCAGACACACGACACCATACATGATGCATCGTCATCCTCTTCCTCCAATAACGATAATCTACCTGTGCAAGCGCAAAACAACATAGCCAAGACCTCGACTCTTATCACTACTTCTCACACATGGGGAGTAGAGTTCCTCTTCTTCGCACTATGTCTTGTAAGCCCTTGATGCCTCAGATCAATCAGTAGATGAATAGCTGCTGACTGATAGCAGGCCGGACTGAGCACTCTCGGTCCATCTAATTCCGCCAGGCCATCCGCAATCTTCATCTTTCATACTGGTCCCTCGTGGGGCAACTGCCAGGCTTCATTTTGCTGCAGTATTTGCCGCTCAACCAAGTCGCCATCTGCACTTTCGCAGCGAACAGTACTCAGAAATCCCCATCGCCCTCCTCCTCGAGCCAGAGACTAATGTATGAGCAGTTCTAGTCAGCGTTGTGAGAGGCGGCACGTTGTTCCACAATATCGCCGTATTGCTCTCCAGGGTCCACGCCATCTTGAGAAGTTGTCTCGCGTTGACGCTCGTCAAGTACATGATAAAATGGTATCCCATCCAGGAGTTACCACTGCGCTTCCTCTTTTGGAACGTTGCCTTCGAAGGGCTTGTTGGCTCGCTTGGGTCATTACCAGAAATCACCTTCCACAAAACTTCTCTGACTATCGACATTGGCGGTATCATCTTCTTCACCAACATTAGCCTACTGTACTACGCCATACAGGTTGGCTTCTCAAATCTTATCGGAGGGCCAAAGGATGTTACCTGGCTTCTTCCGCATCAGAAACTCTACTACTCACAGCGTGCGGCTTCTGAGTCGTTCTACGCCAAAGCAGCGGGGGCTGTTTGGTGGAAGCACCAGGTTCGTCCTGAAATCTTCCTCTTCCACAGCTTTCAGATTCTAATGCAATTGATAGCAATCGTTGTCCAACGCTTTACAATCATTCTTGGTCTTTTCCATCGCCCTGGCGATGTCTCTCACCTCTCAGGGTGTCATTCACGAAGACCCTGTCAGCGGAGTGGGTGCTGTATTCATCAGCATCCTCGCTGGTCTCTTGATTTACAAATTGCCATCGGCGCTCTGTAAGTTATCTTGTTCTTCCACTGACATTCTCTGTGTACTTGCATATTTCTGCAAGTCTGGTATCTTGAATGCCATTCAAGGCATTCATGTAATGCTAAAATGAGGTTGCGGTCATGATCGATTCGAATTGAAGATAGGAACATGGCTTAATACTTACTGATTTCTTCAACTAGTCATTGTCATGGTTTTAGTCGCGACAACGTCGGGTCTCTTGAGCGTCCTAGCCGTTTCTGGCTTCAGCTTTCTTGAAGCTAGTCCTTTCCAATTGCTGTGGAGAATTAACGAAGCAGCTTTGCCTCGTAAGTGAACCTTCAAAAGACCTTTCAAGTACTTCAGCTGACACTCTATGAAGTTCTTTGGGCCTTCGTGGTCCGCCAATCGGCATCGTTGACCGGAGCGCTGGGACCAGTGTCCCTGTCTTGGATAGGCTGGTCAGTCGGCCAGATAATCATAGACTACACGGACAGCATCTCGACCTTTGCTGCTCAACTAACGCTTCTAATTGGGCAGATTATCTTGTGGGCTCTGCTGTGGGTTGCGTGTGGACGTGAGAGCAGGATCCGATTGCCCGAGCATTCACAAGGTATCTTTGCGGCATCGGATAGAGATGTTGAAGACCAAGACAGCGAGCGGAGAGAGGACAGTCAGTGATTGATTGGCAATGATATTTGGAGAAGATTCCCTTGGCGCTTTTTCATCATTGATCATAGTCTTTGTGCCTTCGTGGCCGACGATTACCCGCTGATGGTCTAGGCTTTGATATAGAAATTCCATCAAAATGAGGAAAGTCGGTCTATCGTAAAATAAAGGAAAGACGCTCCAGATAGTCTGCGTTGGCAATCTCAAACTACGGGAGTTGGGACGAGACTGACATCAAGCCCATTCTCGCCCATTTCTGATTAAATCCCCGTCGACGACCTCTGAGAAATGGAAAAGCCACAAAATTCGGCCGATGAGACGGTACCGGTTATCTGCCTCCCCAAATGTCTTACAACGCCACAAGCCAAAGAGATTCCACCCCCCCCCCCCCACCCCCTAAACATGAGAGATGTTCCTAATGTTTCCGTGATCCACTTTGGCTGTGAACGATTGAGTTTAAGGCCATCACAGAGGATGGGCTAAAAGTCGGGCCGGACCTTTGTGATCAAGCGGGAGGTCAAGGATCTTGCCACTCCCCGCATGTATTGATGCCGTTAACTGATTCTTGGCCTTGTGAACTTGACTTTGTTCTTCGCTATCAACTTTGTTCTCCCCGCTTCAACTGAGTGTTCTCTCAGAAAGCCTAATGCGCCGCTCTCACAGACAAGTTGGAGAAGACCCAAAGCCGACACAAGACGCCTGTTTTCCTCTAGAGCCCAAACGCGTTCACCTTTTGATACCAAAAGATGGGTAATACCCCGCAAATGATCTACGTAGACGTTGGCATTCACTGCCGGCTCTCCTCGTGGGCGCTTGTTTCACACGAAGGCGATACTATTGCCGTTTTCGTCGTCAAGTCCACCCCCGCCCCCAGTGTTCATTTGAGACACGGCTGATATTGACTTTCTGATTTCGTATGTTTTCAATGCGGCTGAAGATTAAGAAAGAAAAAACTGCGCGAAAACAAATGCTCTGAGAGATGAAGACGGTCCCCTAGCTGTCGCATTCTTCTGTGGGCGGAAAGCTGAGCATATCTCATAGAATTAGGACAGATATAAAGTCCCGGCAGGATATCCTACTACCTGATACCCATCGTTTGACAGTCTGCCATCGATAGTTATGAATTGACAGGCTTACTGTTTACTATCACAACCAATATTGATAGCTACTCGACTACCCTGCCAAACTGAATCATGACTTCCACATCGAAAGCGTGGGACCACTCGGTCGACGAACGTATCGGACACATTGCCAAGGGCCTCCACAACAACCCCAAATTCAGCAAAAAGGAAGTCCCAGGTCTACAAGCCCTTCTCGATGACTACATCAACAAAGACATAGATGTCGACTACGTCCAATTCCTCCGCAGGCTTCTCCAGGTCTTCAAGGACTCGGAAACCGATGGCGCATTCTCCAACATTCTCCATAAGCATACTGACGACGAGCAAAAGTGTATCAAGAGATTCCTCGCCGGCGATGACCCCAAGAAGATCGGCAATGGCTTCCAGATGGGTCCCAGTCTGGGTTGCCGGGAGGAGCTGGCGAGGCTGCATGAGGCGGACTGCGTCATCCAGGTTGGTGCGCGGGGTATCAAGAAGCTCAAGGAGCCTATCCATAAGCTTGCTGTTAAGGAGAGAGCGCTTCTTCAAAACACGTTGACCAAGATGGAGGACTTCTTCGGAGGTAATAAGAATGAGCTCCAAGGAGCCGGTATCGTAGTAAGTCCTCGCTCGAATGATTTATCTCGACAAACGATTTGTCTAACCAGTCGTCAGTTATACTACAAGACGGAGTTCCAGAACTGGGGTCTCACCGTGAAGAACATTCCAGCTCTCACATGTGTGCCAAAGACATCTCAGGAGGTCCAACTCATTGTCAAGTACGCCAAGGCGCACAACATGGGCGTGCGGTGCTCAGGTTTCCGTAAGTTTCAGCATGTCTCTATCTGCTCGCTCAATATCTGATTTTTCTCAACAGGTCACTCGTGGTCCCCGGTCTTCGCAGAGAACGGCTATGTTCTCATTTCCCTCCTTGGCCTTCACGAGGTCACCAAGCTGCCCAACATTACGGCTCTACCCTTCCCAGAGTCCGCCGCCAACGACCTCCAGACAATCAGCATGGTCTCCGAAAAGCCCCTCGAGAACGGCAACTACCTCGTCAGGGTCGGCACCGCTTGCACAAACGAGAGACTACGCCGATGGTGCATTGACAACAAGACAGTTACGATGCCCATGAACGTCATCATGGTGGAAATCACCCTGGGCGGCTCCAACGCCCCAATCTGCCACGGCGCCGGCCGTCGCCACCAGACCCTCAGCGATCTCGTCCGTCGCATCGAGTACGTCGACTGCCACGGAGAGCCGCAGGAAGTCACCAGGCCCGAGCACCTCCGAGCCGCGAGCGGCTGCTTCGGACTGATGGGCGTCGTCACGCACATCACACTCGAGATGTCGCCCATGACCTACGCTCGCCTGAAGCCCGAAAAGGTCTCCGTCGCGCTGGCCGTGCCTCCGCCCGCGGATCTCGACCTGTCTAAGCTCCCAGCTACGCTCGCCGACCCCTGGCGCAACCTAACCGAGGGAGAGAGGCGGGGATATCAGGAGATCTTCGAGGACCGCGCGACAAACGACTTTTACTCGGAGTGGTTTTGGTTCCCGTACTCGGACAAAGTCTGGGTCAACTGCTGGAACGACACAACCAACAGCGCCGGCGTCGTGAACTTCCCCGACGACGCCCACATCTTCCTCTCCTTCGTGCAGACTTTCACGATGAACGTGCTTCAGAACACCACGCTCCTCGACAAGCTCGTCGACCAAGTCTGCTTCACCGAGGCGGCCGTAACCCTCATCTCCCGCTTCGCCATGCTGGCCCTCCCGGAGAAGGAGGTCACGACCTACGTCCCCGACGCGCTGCACTTCCAGCGTGCGATCCAAAACGTCCGCGTGCGTGACATGGAGGTCGAGATCCCGCTCGTGGCCAAGGGCGGCAAGACGTTTGGACCTGATGAGCCTGTGGAGATTGACTATGCCCCTGTCCAGCGCGCTTGGTGGGATGCGATTCTCACTGCGTATACGAGAGAGAATCGGGAAAAATGTCCCATGCGCATGCCGTTGGAGATGAGGATCATGGGAGGAAGTAATGTCGTGATGGCGCCTCAGCGTGGCAACGAGTTGGGCACCTGTTCGATTGAGGTTCTTACCCTCCACGCGGCCTCCGATATCTGGGTGCCATTTGCTCAGCAAGTTCTCGACAAATGGATGGCTCTCAAAGATCCTAATACTCAGAAACTGTTGAAGACGCGACCTCACTGGGCCAAGGAGTGGAAGGAATTCAGCGTCAACGGCAGGCCGTGGCTTGAGAAGATGAAGAACGAGGACTACAAGACTGAGATTCAAGAGTTCCTCGGGGTCATGGCGGATATTGGAAAGGAGGCCGGGTGGACTCTGGAGGATCTGAAGACTCGGTTCTCGAACAAGTTGTTTGATGACATCTTCTTCAGTAGCCCCCCGCAGAAGAAGGCGAGCGTCACCAATGTGCTTCAAAGTCGAAGTGTGAACAAGTTGCCGCAGATTCGGGCAACTACAAAGGAGATTAATCTTGAGTCTGGAGAGGACTTGATTTCTTTGTAACTAAAGGGGCGAAAGTCGCACAAAAAGGGGAGGGGGAAGAATTAAGGAATTCACAACCTCATCTTTTAATACCTAAATTGACACTTGACACTACTTTTTGCCTCTATAAACTTTTCTCGGCTTAAAACACATGTGAATGGTATTTTCCTTCCAATCCTTCCTTCAACTTGTGTCTCGTAATGGTGAATCCCTCTCCCACACCAACATCAAGGACTTACTTTCTTGCTACAATGAAACTCCATCCTTATCTTCCTCGAGAGCAGGGCTGGCCGGAACCTGAGTCTCAAAGCACTTGGCACTGATATCATTTCAGAAAAGCACTGTGACGACTAAGGTACGGGAGGCGAAGCAGATTGAAGGACGTATGATCAAGCATGACTGAACATCTCCCGGCTCCCGCATCGATTGACTACAAACAAACCACTTCCACTTCAGCCCATACCGCTCCTTCGGCTACCTGCACGTCTGTATAGATTGACGGCTACCGTTTGCAAGCAATAGAAGAAATAATCTTGCCTAATTTCTTTCCCACACGTCTCCCTATTCCTTTTACTTACTTAGCTCACTTCAAACAGCTTCTCATTCTCTTCTTCTCCCATACACATTGCACTCAGGCACACAAAAAATCTCCCACCGATTTTGAGGTTTCCAACCATTACAATGAGTGCCTCGACATCCACTCCTGACGCCAAGATGGCATCGTCTATGAACATGTCATCCCTCGGCAATGCCCTCTCAGTCGTCGTGGGCCCGAAAGACCCCAAGCACAAGGTCTTCGAGCTCGTCTTCGACTACCTCCTCAAGGAGGCCGAGCAGAAGACCGACTCGATCCTCTATTGGACCTCCCGTAACCCTACGCCTGACGCCAGGTCTGGCCTGACGGTTTTCGACCAAGTCGACTACGCCGCGCTCGGCAACCGCGCCCCCCAGCGCAAGCGCTTCCGCATCGTTGGCATTCTCAACCAGATCGACCGCCGCTCCCGCATCAAGTTCAAGCTCATCTTCCGCCCCTGGGAGATGATCTACGTCGAAGGCGCCGAGCCCGGCTTCGTGCGTGTCGGCTGGATCTGTCCCACCAGAGACCACTTCCTCATCTTCGTGGGCGAGCGGGAGAGCATCCCGCACCTCTATGCCGCTCTCATGAGACCTCGCCCCGCCAACTGTCTCATCACCCACTCCATTCAGAGCGTCCGCATCTTCATTACTGAGTTGTACCGCTACGCCTATGGCAAGGACTTCGAGGCCATCCTTCAGCTGCCCAACCTCAAGCAAGTCGCCATCGACGTTGGCGTCATCCGCATCCTCAGCACCCCCAAGAGAAAGCGCCACCAGCACAACTCGGAACTTCCCCTCGACATTAGGCTGTTCCCGTCCCTTATCGAGTGGGAGCGCAAGTACCGTCAAGAGATGAAGCCCGTCTGGGCCAAGCTGCAGCAGAAGGGCATCAAGCTCGTGTGCTACGCGCCTGGTGCCGGCGACGTGGAGCTTCTCGAGCTCATTCGAAAGAACGATGGCAGCGTCCGCATGAAATTCCTCGACCCCATCTGTCATTGCTACGATAATCAGCGTCACCCGGTCATTCTTGCCATGAAGGCTGACAACGGTGGTCAGCTGAACATGCTCAGTCGCGATGATCTGGCTCGCGGAGGCGAATTCCGTAGCGTTTAGTGCAGTGGCTGTGATGGTTATGGGTGTTTGTCACTGATGGACAGAGATGGACACGAGGTTTCCTGCCTCCTTATTGCGTACTCGCGATATTCAGAGTTCCACGATACTGGCTCCTGTTCGATTGTACACAAGGGGTATCATTCAGCTCATACGAAGAGATGACAAGTGGGAGGATTGGGCCTCAGACAGCTAGTCGTTCGTATGAAAAACAATACTCATTCGTAAAGTCCATGAAGTCTCAATTCATTGCACCAGTGATATCATCATGAGATATAGCTACAATGGTCCGATCGGAAAATGCTGTTTTTTTGTCTAAGAAAGTTGTCACCGTCCACGGCCAGCCCAAATAAAAGACGGTAAGACCAGATGCAAATTTCCAGTCGCGTTCTACCATAGCGTTGATTACCGACGCATGTACAAACAATATGGAGGGCCGCATGGTACACTTTCGGCAAGTTCAGAGGGTATGATTGATAGTGACTTTATGACGGTGGCAGTCCTCGGCTTATAATCCATCTCAAGCTCTGAGGTGAAGCTATCGTCACACCATGTCAATAGGCCGAAGGGCTCGCGGAAAAGACTGCCAATTATTTGTTTACCTTACTCATCTTGAAAGAAGCATCATATCCCAGTTGTAAACAGCCTTGCTTCAATAGCCTTGATGATTCTCAGTGTGTCTCTCGTCTCGTCCAGCCACTGTCGTCCTTCTCGGTCCCGGAAGCCTCCTCTTCATCACATTGAATCACACTCACAATTTTCCTGCTCCTTCCTTTTTGTTTTGAGTGAGCTGCACCTTCCTCTTTACAATTCGAAAGTTCCTTATTGCTGTGGTATAAAATATTCACCTGCTTATCCATTTCTTCCCACTCTCCCTTTCTCTCACTTTCACTACCGCGACCGTACCCATTACCACAGCAACAACAATATCACAATATTATCACACCTCAACCACCACCAGTCACGACAATCACCGCCATCATGGCAGACCCTTTCCCATCTTCTGTTGTCGCAGCGGTGAATAAGCGGCCTCAGATGAAGGCTAGTGTGCCATACGAGGTCTTTCTTCACGTTGTTGAACAGCTTATCGATATGGCGAAGAGCAACGATACCAAGGTCTGGTCTCTCGCCTACAATCACAGCCTGGCCACCAAGCTGGTCCTCAACGATGTCAACATTTTAGAGGACAAGCCCCATTCCGTGACCTACAAGCGCCACCAGAAGCTTCGCCTTGTCTCGCAGATCAACCAGCAGTCCCGACGCATGACCGAGAAGACCTTTACCAGACTCCCATACATGGTCGCCACTCCCGACGGACTCAGTCGCCAACTTTGCCCAGTCAAAGCATACGTCGCTGTCACAGACGAGTTCGTCCCTTTCTTCACATCTCTGGAAGAAGGCCGCGAGGCCGAACAGTTCATCTACAACCAAGCTGTGCTTCTGCCCTCTGCTTCTGGCTACGCCCTCCTCTCTCGCATCGAAAAGATCTTTCTTCTGCGCTTGCACTACCTCATCACTGCAAACAAGGAGTCCCTTTCAACCCTAATCAGACTCCCGAACCTCAAGTCAATCACAGTCAACGTTGGAAAATTTGGCAGACTTCACAATAGAATGAAGCCAGGTTTCCATGAGGTCGACCCGAAGAAGTTTCCGCGCCTTGCACAATTCTGCACTCAGGACTCTGAAGCACTCAGAGCTCTTTGGGTCGGTCATCTTGAAGCACGAGGAGTCAAGCTCTTCGGGGTCATCGACAATGACCAGCGCCCCATCATGGAGTTACACCCAAGTCGTGACAAGATCATGATCACATACATTCAGCCTTATGCCGACGAAGCCGTCGAAGAGTTGAGAGAGCGCATGAAGCAGGTCTTGGAATCTTTGGCAATCTGACTTTGACGTTGGCGGATCACGAATGGTACAAAGGGATGGATTCACACTTGTCTTTTGGAAGGAGGATAGATACCCAGCTTTGTGGTTACGGAAAGACTGGTGTGGCAGTTGGGGTAGCTCTCGCCCCAAGAATCAGTCTATCATAGAAGAACGTACTGGGGATTCAGTTTTTTCATCACGTTGGCTCATGAGAAGTCGTAATGAGGAAACACCAAAGTCTTTGTCCCATGCACAGTTGATCAAAGGTAATTCATTTTCTTTTGCACATGTTCACCGTGTATGTATGACGTTGTCTCCAGTTCAGGGCCTTTAATGAAGCCTCAGCTTTTCTGAGAAAGATGTGACAGGACGTTGATCCGTATTGTGGTGGGTTAATCTGCCATAGGCCTGATTCTGCACCTTAAGTCAAGGGTGAGTATGCAGGTAGACAAACAAATAGAGCCCAACATGACGACTAAGCGGCTACTCACATGAAACCGAATCTTCTCAAAGTCCCAATCTTCCTACCTCGACTCATCCCTTCTTTCCTTTTCCACCCTCTTCTAGCATTGAGGTCGGAGTGTTGAGAAGGATTCGACAAAACACCGTCAGATCCTCAATTCTGGCGGTCGGAAGGTAAATAGACAACTCGCCGCACTCACTACCACTTTTCATTTGCTAAATCTCCTCATCTAGATACAACGGCGTCTGACACCGTTGCTTCATCTTCGCCAGCAGGCTTGTCAAACACCAAAGGAGAAGGCGGTCAAGTTCGCCTCGCAGACCGAACAGTCCTCTCGACAGCCTCCTTCGCCGGCATGTCGCGATCCACTATCCGACGAGGCAAATTAAGTCCTGCAGATCTGCCCCGCGAGATCTTCCTCAGCATCATCGATGCTTACCTCGAAAACGCTCTCGCCGACAACCGCTCAGTCCTATGGGTCATCGACTACCACCACGACGCCCCGACCAAGCTCGTCCTTCGGATCAGAGGCCATAACGTCGGCTCCGAGATGGTTGAGATGAGCGAACTCGACCGTTTCCAGAGCATTCGTCTTCCCCTCCAAATCGACAAGAAGACGCGCTCCATGGTACATCGCCACTTCCGTCGCATGCCCATCAAGAAGAACCACTCATACTACTCGCCCCTCTCCGCTGTCGACGCCTGGGTCCGCCCTGACGTTGACCTCTTCACGCCCGACTTCAACGACACCGAAGGAGCCCGTCCCACGCGCGAGACAAAATGCTCGTCGGCCATTCAGCTTCCCACTCCCCTGGGCCACGATTTCCTGAGCGGCGTCCAGCACGTCTTCCTCCCGACACTTCGCTTCTTTCAGAAGAACAACAAGGTCGCCGTCGCCGCGATGTCAACGCTCCCGAGCCTTCAGACGGTCTCCATCATCGCCGGCTATTCCGTGCCCATGTACGATGACCCCGAGCTCCTGGCGATCCACCCAGGCTGGATGAAGGTCGAGGGTCACCGGTACCCGGATATGAAGATTTGGGAGGAGAGACATGGTCGTGCCTTCCGCAAGCTGTGGCTTCCGTTTAAGAGCCGTGAGATTGAGCTTTTTGCGTTCAGGGATGATATCAAGCCGGCTGTTATGGAGATGAAAATTACCAAAGACGGTATTCGCGTGAAGCATCTTTTTCCCGACTGCTCCTGCTGCCCCTCCGAACTTGAGTATAATGACAAGGAGAGTTGAAGCTTCAGAATAGCCATTTGTACTTGTACGAGATATTGAGCTACGATGAACCCGCGGACTCTGGGATTGCCGCGTCTCGGGCGAGGTATACATTATCAGTTCAGATCAAAGTCGAAAGCAATGAGTAGGCCGTGGAAAATACAATTAATTTGGCCAAACGTTTAGCGCAATCTCACTACCTCCTACTCCTCTGTTCATGCTTTCACTGCGGATTAATCTCAAACATGCTCTGTACGATGTAAGGTATTATTTGTGAGAACGGAACGGCTTGCAGGCATAATACACCAATTGATTGCCTTGTGACCCCAACAGGCAGGTGGCTGGGGCTCTCTTATCATTTGTGCCCGCTGATATTCCTGGTGCTTCCTCCCTTCTGTCGCCTCTGGCACTAGTCTTTGGTCCCTTTCGAAGGTTTGCGGCTCCGCAGCTCCAAAGTCAGTCATCGTTTGTTCAAGGCAGCAGACATTGCCGTCCAGGTACCTGTAATATGTCGGATAAAATAAGGCCCAAAAGGGTAGAAATCTTTGCCGCGAAATGGTGCATCCTCCCTCATTCCGGAAAGGAGGAGCATTCCTCCTCCTTTCAAATTTCCCGCTTCTTCCAAAATCACTTTAAGCTTCTACTTCGTTCTCATCTGAATTTCTTACCACTTACTTTTCTTCGAGCCAATCTATGTCATCCAACGATGTCTCCTCATCAACTTCGTCCGGCGCTTCCAGGTTGCGCCGGCCCTGACTCTATCCCCACCGAGATATTTTTTGCCATCATTGAGGCCTTCCTCGCAGATGCGAAAGCTTCTTCGCGGGCCATTGAGTGGCGGTTAGAGTACGCAGAAGACGCTCCGTCGAACTTCCGGCTCGCTCTCACTGGCGACGTGGGTTACCCTGGACCGCTCAGCATCCATCGATTCCGAAACATCTCTATTCCTTTACAGATCAACAAGAAATGCAGAGAGCTCACTAGTAGGGTCTTCATACCGATTCCCTCGCTGCATTTTTATCTTGAGAGAACGGGCCCTGACATCTTCGTCCTACCTTACGTTGATCTATTCCGGGTACCCAAAGTGGAAAGTTATTACTTTAGAAGCCTCCTCGATTCATTGATATATCTCCCGACTTTTGAGGCCCACGCTTTCATGCAACAAATTCGACGATTTCATATCCTGGAATTCAAAATGGCTATTCTCGAAGTTGTTGAGAATCTGCTGCAACTGAAAGAAGTCATCTTCAATGGGAAAAGCCTCATTGACACCATCGAGATGAGTGATACCAAATGCCTTCTCGGTATGATTCCTATGGATGCCGACAATTTTCCCGAATGGAGCGACCATCATCTCCCCGAAAAGACCAAGTTTGGGTCATTTTGGAATCCGTTCGGCCGTCGAAGCGTACGAGTATACGGAAAAGTACCAGATAGTCGACTCTCTACCTTTGAGGTTTACAATACTTCGGATGACCCTGATGCGGAAAGTCCAAGTATCAAGTTCCTAAATCCAGAATGCACATGCTCACAATGCTTGTCGGCAACAAAAGACGAAAAAGAGAGCGAAACCCGCCCCGTTGGCCCGGCTTCATTGCCTTCTAGGATATATATGGCCATCATCGATATCCTCATATCAGAAGCTGTGCAGTCCGCATGTCCAATCTTCTGGGAACGGACTTATTTGATTAAAAGCCTCATCGCCCTAGACGCCAGGGACTACGGAAGAATGTCTCACGAAATTCGAAAGAGATTCGCAAGTCTCAGACTTCCCTCGCAGATCAACAGAACGGGTCAAAAAATGGTTCGTCAAAGGTTAATCCGAGCGGAAATATCACGGGGTGAAGAGCCCCCCTACGGATGGGCGTTGCCTGAAATCGACGCTTTTTCCATGGAAGACGAATACTTTGAAGCAAATCTGGAGGGCATTCGACTCCTACAGAAAGTGCAAAACATCATCCTTCCCACCAGTCCGGACCCTGGTAGTAGATACTTCCAGAATCAGCCAGTCAATTTCTGTACTGCTCTGTCGTTGCTACCCAATCTTAGGAAAGTAGTCTGTCACCTCGAACCATGGAGATATTATTGGAGTCGCCGTTCACCATCGGCTCTACCAAGCCCTCGCCCGAGCGAGCCGGTAGAGATTGACGACAGAATAGATCTCGACTTGCAACTCTTAACATCAAAATTTGATGGCATGTCTAATTGGGAATTTCTCGAGAATAAGAAAGTTCGATTGTACGTCACGGATGGCGAGGGTGGTGCAGAGATCATTCAGACGACCGAAGGCTTCAAAATGAAATACTTGACTCCAGATGAGACCAAAGATTGTAAATTCTTGTCAGGTTGGATGATACTGTGATGCCAACAGGATATTGGGAACGATACTAGATGATTCTGTGTCACTGTGGCTACGGAACACGGAGTAAGCTCTTGGAATCACGGCGTCATGAACATGGTGGTGGGGAAGTTTCGGACAACGAGATTCTACTTTTGCAGAATGCCTCACACATATTTAAGAGGGCCAAGTTAGTTAGTCTGGAATAATATTGTGCTTGAGAATTTCTCTTTCTTCTCCTTTCTTCTAAGCATAGATACCAAACAAAGAATTCAAAGCCCGACGCCTGGTCGTGTAGGCGTACGATCCTTTGGTTTTCAAACCCATGCTTGAAAGGTCGGCAAAGAAAGTCTTTGTCCGTCTTCTCCCGACGTCAACGTCAGAGCATCAACATTTCATGACAAGATTTTCTTTCGGAGATCGAAAGAAAAAGTTGTTCGAGTCCAGTGTCGGTGGAACACTCAAGGTTCTTCATCTGCCGTCTCTGAAGCCATCGGTTCTACAGATATTATGGCTACTATCCTACCTGACAAACGCTGAGAAATTCTAGGGGCAACACACCATCATCACAAATTTCTCATACAGTATCATCACTACCGTATCACTTTACGCTTCCTGAGTATTGATTCGCCTACGACAATGACGCCGCAAAAGACTTCGGACGTAGTGGAGGAGTCTCGTTGCCTTCCCCATCTTCCAAACGAGATCATAGTTATGATATTCGACAGAATGATCGCAGGCGCCGCCGCCGATTATCAGCCCATCACGTGGGAGATTTGTCCAGTCAAGACCCTCAAAGACTACAACTTCCGGGACGCGTACTACAAGACGACGCAACAGCCTACTCACAACGACAATTCCCACACCTTCAAGACACGAAGCTAGTTTCCTCGAGGGAGCGCTTCAACAATATGCGACTGCCATTACAAGTCTGCTCTTGGACCAGGGCCATGACCCTGAAGACTTTCCATCCCCTTCGCTATCGCAGCCAACCCTACATGCTACCGCGTGCCTCACTCTTTGGAGAGCTCATGTTTGGCTTTTTGAAGGAGGATTTTGTTTGGGCATGCCCAGCGCTTGACGTCTTCTGGATCATTAATGACGACGTCGAGATCGTCTTTACGTAGCCGTGGCCGTGTGCCCAACAATCGAGCGACCATCACGCCTCCTCAAGTTCTCAGCCTAGTGCGACGGCCGACGGAATCCTCCGGGTTATCCAAAACGTCAGATTCGATTGTCTCAGTTCGAATATCACATACCCAGAGGACCTGTCCGGCGCGCTCGAATAATCCCTCTCCCCACCGAGTATCGAGCTCTATGTGGACAAGCACCTGGCGCATCCTAGCTACGGCGCGGCCGGGTACTTGAAGACAGGACACAACCGGCTAGGGTCTCGCAAGCGTGGACCTGAGTATCTTCACCTCGTCGGGTTACCGGACAGGATTACCTATTATCTGCAACGCCCGACGACAGACAAGGCCCAGTGGAAGGCGCTGCGGAGCAGGAAAATTCCGGTTGTGGTTCGCGATCCAAGCTTTAGTGATGAGAGTGACGAGACTGTCCCGCTAGAGCTATTCCTTGATGAGAAGGGTGAGATCTGCTTTCGGGTCTTCTGTCGGTAGTCCCTCCATGTTGTGGAGTTGGTCCTGGAGTGGGGGCCATGTAGAGTTAAGCTCGAAGGTAAGGAGGGACTGAGAAAAGACATCGAGGTTGAAGCTTGAGACGTGGCTTCGGCAAGAACTATGAGGAAGAGCTTCTACGCCGGCTCCGCGATACTATGGAAAGAGACGAGGAGACTCTCTTGAATAAGAGGTCCGAGAGAGGCCAGGTTCCGCACGAGTGTCAACATCCGAAGGAGGGGACCTCGGAGGCACAGTGAACTTCTAGTCATTCCTGGAATCTGGTAGACCTGTTCGTATTCGTTCACGATGTTGGGAGGATGAGCGTGCGTAATAGATAACGGGAGGGTATCCTTAGTCAGACCAAGACAAAGAGACGTTTGTCTTTGAAGAGATGATCTCGGGGTAACAGTAACTTTCAGTTTTCTCCTAGAAATTATCTCATGCCGAGGAAGTCGATGGCATTAATCACTGGTGCCTTGAGGATCGCCTGAACGGCTGCGTGAAGTTGGAGGGTATATATAAGGTGCCCTGCTGTCGACTATGAGTAAGGACTGCGTATGGCTTTATCAAGAAAGAATTACTTAGAGACTGCTCGTAGTTCTAACTCCCTCCCACTAATTGTGACGAAATGGTCGAGAGGCTCCGATGGCGCTTGCCATTGTATGACTTGAGTTCAAGTAGCAACTACATATTATCCTGATGATGGAAGAGATGAAACGGAATGACCACAGACGATGCGCAAAAATGCCTAGAGCAGGTGACAGAGGGGTGGGCGCAAACCACCCCTCATACAACAAATACAAGAATAAGCACGCTGAGAACCCATCACTCGGCGGCCCAAAGACGACAACTTACAAGGTGTTTGTCGTGGGCGTTTAGTAACCCACTTGGGCAAACCTTGTCCCCTCGAGGTCCTCCCCCAGAGTTACCACAGCGAGGCCCAGCAAGGCTAGCTTATCGCAGGGTGTATACAGTCCGTAAAGGCCCACAAACGCCTTTGGTAAGAATCTCGTGGGGACATTACTTACCCAAATTTGAGAGTGAAACAATCTACGACTTGAGAGACGACAGTAATAGCACCGAATGTAACTCCATAACGAAATTCCCACGACTGACAGCTGAAGGAATAGACGATACCTCACCTGATACTCTCACCTTAAACAGCAACCTCCCTAGACACAACCCCAACGGCGAAAGCACCCGACTCCGCTTACCTTGCCGGTCGACGGTTGAGGGGTGAATGGTGGATGACTTCACATCGACGAAAGCATAGCGAGACGGCATGTCCGGCCCCAGTACCGACTTACCTTTCCCTCATACCATGACCCAAAAGGCAGGTATTCTCTCACCTCTTACGATCAGGCATCCCATCTGTCCGCTCGACCTCATTCTCTAAGGAAACTCTCCATGGCCCATCCCCAAACATAAAACAATGGATGGATGTAGCCTCAGAGCATGGCTGTGTAGTGAGAGTATAGCATGCCAGCCCAAGCCCACCCTCCTTCCAAGCATCCTCGTAACTATTCCGCTCGTCGGGAAACACCATCCCACGTTCCGCTTCGATCCGCTTCGGTGTCACAGTCTAGCATTTCCCATCCACCTGTTGCCTTTTATCGTCGTGCCGGATGTTGAAATCGCCCTTGTGGGTTGAGTCGGCAGAATCCATGGGCAACCGACCTCATCATCGGGGCTGCGTGCTTCTATACCATCGTCACTCGTGTCGAATGACTCCATCAACGCAAATCCGTTGCAACGTTCTCGCTATCGTCGTAATCGTATCATCGTGTATCCCATTCGTGTTCGTCGTGGTCTTCGTCATCGCCCATTTCGCGCCCAGTATCTCCCCCCTTTCCGTCCCCTACGCGACCTCGGACATCAACCTCATCGCGAAGTTCCCATCCAGAGCAAGCGAATCTCCATCATTCAAATGATCCAGATTCAACCTCAGTCGTACTCCAATCCAAACTCATACAACCGTTGTGTCGTCGTAAATCCCAAACTCCTTCCCCCCAAAGCGTCGCCCATCCACGCAGATTCCACTGAGCGTATTCCCCAAGTCGCACGAATGAAAAGAACAGTCACAACAAAAATGCACAGGCAAAAAAGTGCAAATAGAAATCACTGGAATTATAGCTAAATTCTCGCTCATCTCTTATGTGGCAAAACCCCGATCCTCTCCCGCCGGCCGTTCCTACGCTGTACTGGACCGCGCAACGTGCCCCCCGCCTCCGAAACGTCGCGGAGCTGGTAGAAACGGGCAATGACGTACGGCCGATCACCGCCGATCACCATTCGCCTCCTCTCACCTGAAAAGTAACCCCAAAATCCTCATCAACTCAATTCCACCAAAAACATGACAGCATTGCGAAAAGAATATAAAAATCAACAGCAAATAGGCATAATAAATCCAAAATCAGTTGAATTGAAAACCCAAAACGGGCCGATTCGGATAACTGCAGAACAAAGCTCTGCAAACTGCCATCTCCATGTTGAAAACCACGCAAAAATTGGTCAACCAAAAAAACACAGCAACAGATTTCCCCGCTTCTTGCAAACAGTCGATCTGCAGATCTCATTCCTCTTGTTCGCCGTCAGAACCATCAGAAAGAAAAGACCATCGCAAAAAGATCCGGGAGAATCCCTGCCTTTCACATTCGTCGGTCGTTCTCCTTCTCTTTGACAAAGCTTCTGAAACGTCCCATCATCCACAGAGTTCTGTCATCCCCAGCCGATCATGGGCTCCCATCTGACCGTGCCGAGGCCCCCCCCTCTCAAAACGTGTTTGCCGATCCCCGCCACTCAACGTGCCTCTTCGCCAGCCTGTCAGGTCAGGTCACCCAGAGAAACTCTGAGAGCTTGCAGAGAGGTAGGGTGGCGAGCTGGCGAAACGGGGGAAGCATACACAGTAGAAAAGAAAAGGCACCTTTCAGCCCTAAACTCAATGCTACTCAGCATACTGCGACAGCTGCCCCTAGAAGGCATCTTCCCACGGCGATCGCGTTTCTACTGGGACTCCTGCCACACGATCACCGTCGCATTCCAGGTGACAGAGTCTGCAGATCTGAATATCGCCCCGCGCGATAAACCTCTCCAGTGGTCTCTTGTGGTGATAGATGCCCCTTTCGCCGCCAGAAGAGTTATCTTCTCGCTGCCGATCGCGGAAACAAGCCAGGGGCAAGCTTCTGTCTCGCGTGGCGACAGCTCGTCGCCTGGCCACCCGCAGCATCCTGCCCATTGACCAGTGGAAACGCTTGTCTCCGCTGCTTCAAGGGCTTCTCGTTCGCTTGTCGCCTGCCCTACAGGGAGCAAGACCGATTGTAGGTGGCACTGGGGGCACTGATCCGTCCTCAAGGTCCCGAAGGGGAGCACTTGCACCCACAAGGAGCCAGCTGGCAAGCGAGGATCGCCGTCTCGGCTGCTGCTCTACAAGGGGAATGCCCTCATGCAGCAGGTAACAGACCAGTAGATAGTGAAGAGGATGTGAATCGCGAGATCCTGCAGCCCTAGCCCCTTCTCGCCTACGGTCCTCTCACTCCTCCTTCACCCTCGCCCCCCCACGTTCCGAGCCAAAGGCCAGAAAGGGTGTGAAAGGGGAACACCGCCACGAACTCGCGATCTTCCCTCAGGAGAGAGCTCTCGGGTGTGGCAAAAGCCTCAAGTTACCGCTTCAGGAAACCGACAGGCCTCGTGTGTCGTCGCCATTGGCTCACCATTGATGTTCCAACGGCAAGACAAGCGTCACTCCGCTACCGAAGCAGAGAAACCTAGTCCCTCACTGTGGCTGGAGAGGAGGTGGAGGATGGGGTAAGGAGAAACGAGGAAACAAGAAGAGGGTTTCTCACCTCGAAGTCGCTGTGTCCTGGAGGAAGAAGGGAGTCGTAGAAGCAGATAGGAGAAAAAGGCAGGGCACGATCGGTGTAAGAGCGTGGAAAGGGCACCAGAACCTCACATCCATCAACCAAGAGAGCCGCGTCGAGCGTTGGTCCATGGGGCATCGTCGACTCTTATCCTCTTCAACTTGGCGAGAGTCCCTTGTGGCTGGGTCCAAGACTCCCTTCTTCTGATGGAACCCCTCCGCCATGCCTCCCGAGTCCCGAGCCCTCGTGGCACCCCTATCCTCGGCGATCCCAAGAGTCTGGAATCGTGTAGGGGTCCTGGCACCCAATGAGCGGCCCAGATGGTGGCGAGATAGAAAGTGACTTCTTCCTAACGAGACCCCAAAGACACTCACCCCTGGGGCGCCCACTGCGTCCGACGGCTGCA